ATTTTTATTTTTTCTCCCATTATTATTCCATTTCTATTATTATTTCTTAGTCATTCCCTTGCATCTCAATGTATCATTATTTATATCTTTTTTACCCCTTTTTTTTCTCTTCTCTTCCCCTTTTTTTCTCTTCTCTTCTCTATATTAGAATTGTTTTTGGTCAAAACATAAAAAACGTAGTTTCTTAGCATTATTATCTTGGTACGTTTTCACTTGTCTACATCACTTTTCATTACTTTTCTTGGGCTTCATCTCTTTGCTTACTCCTTGTACCTTGCACTTGCATTTACTTTCTCCCTCCATATTAGTAAATTCACCTTTTATTCTATTTTTTTATCAATAAAATGTTTCCATATACATTATTCTTTTTTAGTCACTTTTTGTATCTCTATTTATTATTATATATTTCTTTTTACCATAATTTACTTCTATCGCTCATTATCTATATTGAAAATGTTTTAAACCAAAATATAAGTAGTATAACTTCTTAACATTATTTTTTAATTCTTTTCACTTTCCTTTATAACTCAAGGATTGCAATACTCCTTATACTTTTTCAGAAGTTGTCTTCAACTAATGTTATCATAATCCTACTTTTAGTTCCTTTCTTTTTTCTTTTTTCTTTTCTTTTTTTCTTTTGCTTGTTATGATATGAGAAATCTAATATAAACAGCCTAACAAATGTCGTAATAAAACTTCAATACAAAATTTACCAACTTTTCATATAGTAATTGATAAATTGAATTTTTGTAAATAATATGATGCTAATTTATCATTGATTTTATTAATATTTGAATAGATTTAAAATGATTTTATTCAATTTTACACTATTTCCATTATTTTTGTAAGATAGGGCTTAACTTTTAACTTTTAAAAATCATAAATTTGGAAGTTAATCACAATGTTTCACAAAGTTAAAAGATGGATAAAATGGTAAAATTGAGGAGAAAATTGTAGAATTTTGAAATATAAGGACTAAAGTACAAAAATTATAGAAAGTTAGACCAACACTGTAATTTTACGTTTATGGGTTCATTAAGGAAAAAAATGAGCAGGGTGTCGATACCTCTTCTTATTTCTTCTTTTTTAATCTATTTATATAAATGGGAACTAAATTGTAATCCTATTATTGTTTTCTTTTTCCCTTTTTAATATGAGAATGTGATATCTCAATCTTTATTTGCAATTAGTTAAAAAATTAAATCCTTATTTGCATTAAATCTAAAGTTAAAGTCCTTCATTTCATCTAGAATTAGGGACTAATCTATAATAATTGTTAATTTTGGGTTGCATGTTATTTTAATAAATTGCAATCTAGGTGTCTATCTTAAGGAGAGTTTAGTGGAGTCCAACTGTTTATAATTTGTTAGAATCAATGATATGTGTTTTGATGAGAAGTGGGCTAAGTGGGGAGCAACCAAAACTCACTTAATTGGAGATTTTTGAGCCATATAACTAAACTAGTCATTTTTCTACATATTTGCCTCTAGTTGGACCGAAAGGCAAGGAGAAAGGAGGTGCAAAAATACTCAATAGATTTGGAGATTCTTGAAAAAACTTTATCAAGCCCAAAATTTTGAACAAGTGTGTGGGGTAAGTGTGATTCTTAATGTTAATCTTAGGTTGTCAAACATGAAAAGAGAAATAAACATTAGATGGACAAAGTAGGCAAAAAAATGATGATATTGTAGTTTAAGCTAGACAACATAAAGACTACAATAAGCAAAGAAAGTATGTTTTAATTAGAATAACCTACACTGGAGCTAACTTCTTAGTGAAATTAATTGTAGGGACAATAAGAATGAGATTTAAACTAGACTACAAGGGTTTGAAACTAAGATTTACTACATTTTAATGAGTTAAATCTGTAACTTTCATGCTATGCATGTTTTATTTGTGGATCTATAGACTACATTAATTGTTGAACATGTGATGCATGTTTCTACATGGTATATGTTTTTGTGGCATAATTTCTTTAGAACTATGGAGAGTTTGGACTCTAGCTTAGCCTTGGGGGTTAAAATAGTGAACTAGTGAACTAGTGGACCTCTGGCAGTAGGTAAGTGCTATGAGTAGCTCTGGCACTTAATGTGAGTGCATGCATGGACTCCATAGTCAGTGTTAAATCTGTTTAATGTGTTGTGTGATTGTTCTATGGCTAAATGTCTAAATTATTAGTAATCTTAATATTGTGAGAAACTAATGGTACTTTTTTACATAATGAACTAAGTAAAGATTATCAGCTTAACTCATGGTTAAGAATTATGCTTATTGGGTTGTGAGCTCATGGAGTTTATTCTACCATTTCAAATAGTAGTAG